AAAATAATAATTCTCAAACTAATAATTGGTATATTAAAAGTACGTTTGTTTTTACATTGACTATTGCCTTTATAGCAAAGACTAAAACATTGTTTAGACAGTAAAATGGATAGTCCGTTGGACTTAAGTACCTACCTACTATTTTAAATGGCAGCATCGGTTATCGAGCACATAAATTCGCACCGTTTCACAAGGACCACTTTCTTTGACTGTTCAACGATGTGATCTTAAGATATTGTACCTTATTATAATTCTTATTAAGGCTTTATTAGTGAATCCATACAATAATTGGTTAGTTTACATTTCTTGTTTTGTTTATTCTCCTCAACTTTAGTGGCAAGCTTAACTTTTACTTTAAAGTTTAACTTAGTGGCAAGACATGCTGAAAACCCATGTTTGACTTCGTATGTCAGATAAGGTAGAATATTTGAATCCATTATTATCTATAATAATTATAATTATAATAATTTTAATTTCCAAATCATGACAAAAAATGATATATATATAGCTTAGATTTTTTACATTTTATACATTATTTTAGTCTTGTTATACATATATCCTATATTCTAGCTATCTTCAGTACCGTCGATCGGTACCCCTTTACGGGTAAACGCCTCCTCCAGCTTTTTACAACTGACTCTGTCTATGTCTTTCTTTCTCCATTTGCTACCTGCTACCGCTTCTGTATCTTATATCCACCTTTTTTGGGGCGCCCTCTTCTCCTTCTTCCCCTTGGTCCTTTCCATCTTTAACGTCCACCTTTTATCTGTATATTATGCCCCGCCCATTGCCACTGCTGTTTTAAATCATTATCTATATTGCACCTAAATCCTTAGGTAGGTAATAGGTCTCCGTTTTGGTGTTTCAGGCATTAGCGGATAATGTGGATGCTCTGTCAAGATTCAAAGATAAGAGTGAGCCCGTGTTTCTATTTATTCACGTAAGTTCAGTGATGTTTTCAAGTTCTCTACTTAGATAGATGTTTAGAAATAGTTTGTCTATTTACGACTAAACAACTTCTTGATTAATAAAGAAACCCTTGGTGTAGGCCTCGGATATCTGCCTTGTGATTCTGTGTGAAACTACAAGGAGGGAGTCCTTATCAGAATGCCAAATCGTAAAATGACTGCTTCACGACTGATTTGAGCGCGACCGCTGCTGCGAAAACCGCTGTGCGAGTTCGAAAAGTGAGTTACAGAATCGCAAGGCTGTATCTATTTCTTTATATTGTTAATAGACAGTAAGTGATCAGCTTTCGGTGACGCACCGTCGAAGTATAGGGCTATGGCATGCCGGCTACTTAACAATGATCTCCTTCCCGTAAGATTAGATTCATGCCATTCAGCCATGATTCGAACGTATCACTTCAAGGTAAAGAGTTTAGCCACTAGGACAACACTGCTCTGGTTGATAAATGCTGCAATGTCTTATGCTTGACTTAACGCCTATATGGGGCAGAGGGCGTCCACAGTGAGTCTAATGTCTCAGGCATTTTAAACTTTTTAGAGAGGTAAACTAACACGGGCAATGTTTGGCGCGAACGGCATTGAATTGTGTCGGATCATTGAAGAGGAGCTGAGCTTGATGCAAAAAGAAGCTACGATTGGACTTAAGAGACATAAGCAGGATATAACGGAGTTACTGCCTGAAGAAGCTGTAAGCGTTTAGCGGTATTTACGTTAGCCCTGTCTTAGTTTATGGCCGTTAATGTTATATTTTATGAAAAGATTTAACTAAACAAAAATGTTGTTACTGTTATGGGAAGCGAATTATATATATATATATATATTTGTTGTTGTAAAATAGTTTAAAAATGTTCATATTTATATAGCTTATTAATTAAATATTTAAGAGCAGTTTTGGCTTCAGCGTGCGACTCTCCCTGAGGTCGTAGACTCGATCACCGGCTGTCCACCAATGGACTTTCTTTCTATTTGCGCATTTAACACTCGCTCGTATGGTTAAGGAAAACATTGTGAGGAATCCGGCTTGCCTTAGACCCAAAAAGTCGACGGCCGCGGTGTGTGTCAGGCACAGCCGGCTGTTCACCTACTTGCCAGATTGACTAATGATCATAAACAGGTATATATAAATCTGAGGCCCATACCTAAAAAGGTTGTAGCGCCAGTGAATTATTTATTATTTGACTGACACACTATCTCGTATGCGAGAGCTTCCGTTAAAATAATTGCCTTAATTACGTAAGTTATATAATCTATATAAAGAACGCATTATTTTAAACGATGTAAATGTGATATTTCAGGCCAAAATCCAAGCCGATCTGAAGCTAGAAGAACAAGCTCGTGAAAACGTGGAACGATTGCGTATTCTTACGTTAGCGGCGAGAAAAAGACGTGTGAACGACCGACTTGCTGCTCACATCCGAAGAATTAACTTCATCATGTTTTGGCCTCACTGCCATAAGGCGCATTACGACCTGTATGAGAAATGGGATATGATTAGTTAGTTGCACTATTTATTTCTAATCTTAATTTTCCTTAATTTATCTTCAATCGTTTTAAAGTGTACGGTTCCTGGGTCATCGGGGTGCTTTAAATAATAGAGGATTTTAGTTTTACTCTATATTAACCACTCGAATACAACAATAGAATATAAGCCAAAGGAAATGTTAATTGCTATGTAACGAATGAATGCATTTTGAAGAGAGTGCCTACGTCTGGCTATACTCTCGGGGCGTAACTCCGACGATTTAGGAAATCGCCACGCTTATAAAACTAAGAAAGCTTGTGAGCTAAATCTACAGCCTTGGCTCGTATTATTTATTTTACTATTGTTAACTTAGTTTTGCAATTACTGAACTTCCCCTTACTATATCGTTTTATTACTACGGTTGCATGGAAGAGACCGCTTGCTAGGGATAACCCCTCCGTTGCCTTCTAATTATTCAAATGCAACGAAATGAATCATTACTTTTATTAAGTGTTAATATTGAAATAAATATTTTTATTTATTTACGATTAAATGCATGAATACTACATATACAATCAGGTAAAATAAATTATTAAAGAAACAACGGGCGGCATTATCGCACACAAGCAATCTCTTCCAGGCAACCCTAGTAAGGAAAAACAAATACTAAAGGTCGTGTGCATAAAATGCATAACTAAATTAAAAACGCCGGCAACGCACTTACGAGCCCTCTGGCAATGTGATTGTCTATGGGCGGCGGTATCACTTAACATCAGATGAGCCTCCTGCCCGTTTGCCCACTGTTACATAAAAAAATTACAAGTATGTAAACTAAAAGCTGAATATTTAAATGGGCCGAAATCAAAGTACATAGATTTTAATATGTTTGGTTTTGTGTTTTACCAAAAATTATACTCTATGGTGTTTTAACTATTTCTAATTAGACATACAGGTGGCCGCAAAAGAAACGTTCATAGTAACCGAAGAAGGGGCTAAAGAGGCGCTTTATATGAGCGACGTTGAACCAAACGAAGCCTGTCTCCATGCGTTGATGACTGGTGAAACCTTGGTCGTGGTCTTCAAGATGTTTGATACTGATCATCGGGATTTTGTCAGTTAGTTGAATTGTCACTATCATAGGCCTACATTGTTTTGTTTATTGTGTCTAGAAAATGTTAGTTAAGGGCCGTTCAAGTATTACGTAAGCAGATTTACTGAAATTTATCCCCCCTCCTCTTGTCAGCAAAAGTAAGCGAAGCTCTCAAAAATAATAGTACATAAACGTTAGTTTTTTGTAGGAATCCTCGAAAATGCATTTCGTTTTCAAGCATAACTGCTGGCGATGGTTGCTGTGCTGGATTCATATTTCTGCCCAAAGTTGTTATCGGGGTCACCAATGTACCTTATTTGTTATTTGTAAGTCCTTATAAGGTACTGAGTATAGTAATGAAACGAGGCACTTTAGGACACGACTATTAACACGTTCACTGCGGCAAGTAAAATCATAATTCTTCATCAGGTGCGGCGGCGGGCCAAAATGCGCCCCCAATGATATTTCCGCCAGTGCGTGGCAGGTCTTTCTAGACCCAACAGCACTAGGATAGATTAACTCTCAGTGGATGCACAGCAGCGTCAGTGCGTGGTAGGTCGATAAAAGCCTGCCGTTATGTTTTGATGGGGAACACCTACAATTTTGACAGCAAGATGAAATATATATTTGTCCCTGTCGAATTTTTACAAACACCTGAGATAATCGTTACGCACCAGCGAGAGGGACATAGATTTCTTCGTCCGCACCAGCTGAAATACCGCGGCAGGCCGATATCGGCCTGTTACGCAGTGAACGTGTTAAATACGAGTGTTGGTACAATACTAATTTATATTAAAACATTGCTGCATTTATATTAATCATGTAGGCACAACAGTGTGGGTAATATGTGCAAAAAAGTAAATAATTACTGTTGACGTAATCACCAAATAAGAAAATCAAAGACCCCCCCCTCGCCTCTATATAGTGCTTACGTAATACTTGAACGGCCCCTTATAGCTATGTAAAGAAATCGTTGTCTTTGTATCGTATTGATCCAAAAAAAACATAAGAGGTATATGTTTTCTTCGTGTATTCAAACATCACTTTACAGCGTTTGATTATTATATCAATTAGCAAGCGCAGTAAAGGTTAAAAATATTTTCTAGAATTACTACGCCATGCCCTATATGAAGAGATACCGGTTCCAAAAGAGGACGTGCCTCCCGAAAAACAGTTGCCCCCAATTCCTGCCTACGAACGATATGCCACTATTAGTAAGACGGCAAGGGAAGTACGCCGTGAGAGATACGAAGCCCGCATGCAGAAATTGGTATAAACAATTTATCGAAGAGTTTATTAAATTTTGTAGTACACTGAAGTATTTTCGAACCAATTCGAGTTAGGGTCCTGTAAGAAAAGAGCTTACCAATTCTTGAAACGCAGGCAATGCACTTGCGAACCTTTTGGGAATGTGAGTGTCCATGGGCGGCGGTATCATTTAACATCAGGTGAGCCTCCTGTAAAAAGTATGTGAAACAGAATAATACAATAATTTGTATACGCAGCTTAGCGATTTCATGAACAGTGTCATCTAAGATTAGCTTTAACAGCGTGGCTATCATTTCATTATACTTTTTTATAAATAATTAGAAATAATAATTTATTCATTTAACTTGTACATTACTGTTGCGAGAAACAAATATTACAATAAACATCTACAAGTATTTTACAGTTGTTAAATAAATGAAAAACTGATACACAATAATTATAAATATTCCAAATAGCGCGATGAACGCGAGGAAAGGGAGCGGCTAGAAGCAGAACAGGCACGGCTTGCAAGAGAGGCGGAGGAAGAAAGACAGAGACTAGAAAAGCAAAGACAAGAAGAAGAAAGAATGGCTAGAATACAGGCTGGGGTCAGTTGATAAATTTGTTTAAAAATAACTTTCTTGTATGGATTTCATTCGTCATTAAAATTGAATAAAAATTTTAGATATCTTTTTACTTTAATTTTGAAATGTATTTGTGCTGAGGACAATCCTATAAACTACTTGTTTATTAAAATGTAAAATATACCCTTTTTATATGATATTTTGTTAATAATTCAGTTACCAGCTGATCCAGAGCCAGAAGACACGGGAGAAGAAGTAGAGGGAGAGGAAACCGAGAAAGTAGAAAATGAGGGTGAAACCGAGGTGCCTTATTATTTATTATTTTTTGTGCTAGCGTCAATCGCATCAAATACAATTATGAAAAAGTTAAGTAGTTGAGAGAAAATCGTGTTTTTTAATTATTTTTCGTTAAGCTACTCACTTAAAGCCAAAAATGTATTTATAACGTGATAAAAACCATTACTTTGGGTTTTGTTCACTTACGTTTTTTAAATATTTATTTGGTTTCCAGTATTCCCATAGCAACACTACTATATAATAATATCTACACAATTACACAATACATAGAAGGCGTAAACGGAACACGCATTAATAAAAATACAAACACAACAAATATGATAAAATAAAAGATATACATTATATACTATGAAACACGTACGTTAAAATTATAAGATGCATTGCTCATTAAACGTAAATTAGTTTAGTATAAATGAGACTCACAAAACAAAAGATATGATAATGAATACGACGGTCGTATTCTGTACGTTCTAGGGTTTTAACACCAAAGTTCTTGCAGAAATATATAGCTTTTATAGTTTTGAAAATTCTTAAAACTTAGTAAACTTTAATGTTCTGTACTGTCTTAATGTATTTCTTGTATCGTGGGGACCAAAGTCCAAACAATACAATAGAGTGTTGAGTGTTCCTAAAAGAGTCAGGTAAAAGAATTTCACTTAATTTATATTTTTAAAAGATTTGCATATACATAACCATGTCATGATGGTGTAAATACATATAAATACTAGCTGCCCCGCGAACTTGGTTTCTCCTTAATGTGATTTTACTTAGCATATCTACTGTTTTTAGTACATACCAACATGGTGAATTTTGCTATGCTACCCCAGAGACTGTTCGGTTTTCTGGAATTAATTTTTTTAGGGTTTTCTGTGAATTTTTCTCTATATCTTTCTCAGAGTTCAAGTCATAAGATTTTAAATTTTAATTAACAAATAAAAAATAGGGGTTGATCGTAGAGGGGTTAAAATTAACGATTTTATGTATTTTTATATGCTGTGTCTTAAAAAAATAAAAACAAAAATTTTAAGTAAAAAATAATAATTAAAATTTAAGGGTAAAAATATAAACCACCTTTAACATTTAGGGGGTTGAAAGATGTATAGTAGCCGATTTTCAGACTTACTGAATATGCATTAAAAATTTCATAAGAATCGGTCGAGCCGTTTCGGAGGAGTATGGGAACGAACATTGTGATACGAGAATTTTATATACATATATTAGAAGATTATACGACCAATTGAATTTGTAAAGGTAGCATAGAAAAAGTGGTTTTTAAATTAATTTTACTGAGAACGGTGGTGCATAGCTTTAATAGAATATCTTTTGAACCCGTCAATATTATTTTATCATTTATTCATTGTAGCCAGAAGAACAAGAGAAAGTAGAAGAAGAAGAGGAGTTTCACTCTGACGTATCAGTTGATGGGGAAGACTACATCCCTCCCGGAGGTCTGCTTGTTCCAGGCTTGTATTCCCCACCAAATGACTTGGCGAAAGCGAATGCTCTCTCCTATTTCTATCCCAAGGTAAGAAGTAGAATTACATGTCGAAGTTCTTTTATTTATCCCACTTGTTATGCAAGCCGGGAGGCGGTGATAAAGAGAAGACTACATTATATGCATAAGATTCTCCCTTATGAGCAGAGTTGACCTAGTGGCTTCAGCGTATGTCTCTCATCCGTGAGGTCATTAGTTCGATCCCCAGCTGTGCACCAATGGAATTTATTTCTATGTGCGCATTTAACACCGCCGAAGGACACCATCGTGAGGAAACTGGCTTGTCTTAGACCCATAAAGTCGATGGCGTGTGTCAGGCACAGAAGGCTGATCATCTACTTTAGATTGACAAATGATGATGAAACAGAAAACTAACCCCCAGGAAAACCTAATAGGTTGTAGCCCCATTGATTTATTTATTTTATTTAGATTGCCGTTATATGGGTACTTCCAATAGACTGTAATGCAACACGATGCCTCACGATTGTGTGGTTGAGTAAATGAATTATATTATTATCTAACAAGATTTTTTAAGCTGCAAATGCCTGTCATACTAATGTTAAAATAAATATCAAATTTCCAGATAGTGTTGGAGTTGACTCCTATTGAGTCTGAGCACCTCCCACCTCACGTACTAGTCATGTTCTCAATTGACAAAAGGCTGGATGTCAAAGAGGTCATGGACACCTTCCCAGATGAAATTCTGAATGTAAGATATTTAGACAATTTGCAAAATGTATTTGTTTGTTTCAGCCCGAAATACTATCAGGATATATAAAGATTTATTACGATTTTTTCACTTAAAATACTATTAAACTTACGCCTGAATATCTTCCAATTTCTAGACTCTAGTACGCTGTTAAACACAGCTAGAAATATATATACAAATAATCTAGTACATACATAGAATATATGTAGTTATATATTGCGCTAATTTACAATTATGGCGAGCACCACAATGACACAAAAAACTTAAACATTAATAAAACTTTTGTTTCACGTTTTGACAATCGCTTGATTTTGGTGGACACGATATCGCGTGTCGCGTGTATTTTGACCAATCACAATAGAGCGATGCGTTCTTGTTTTGATTTACGTCGTATTCTAGCTTTATTTATAATTTCAGTATGGTATCTTCGTCGGTGATGATCCTTATTCGGCCGAGCATCTTGCCTTCACTATAAAGCAATATGACAAAATGACGAGACCTAGGAAGCAGTATGTTACTGTTATGTGTACTACTGTATTTTGAGGCAACAAAACTAATTTGTTCAGAGATATTTTTCGGATTAGTTCCTGCAGCTGAGTTTCATCATCGGACGTCGAGGTAGAATACGAAATTCCAGCCCATATCACCTCGACGTACGTCGTTTCACAACTGAGCGTTTTTTAAGGCAGTTGTTGCTGCGCACCACCACTATGTGGAACCAGCTGTCCACTGAAGTATTTCCAAACTAATTCGACTTAGGGTCCTTCAAGAAAATACGGTACCAATTCTTAAAAGGCACTCCCGAGCTCTCTGTCTTTGGGAGTGTCCATGGGCGGTGGGCGGTATCACAATGAGCCTCCAGCTCGTTTGCCCCCCTGTTCTATATTATCACATAAAGTATATAAAGATTTAAATACCGAATTCTTTGAATAACTTGTATTTTTATAGGAAATAAATTAGAAATTTAATAAATAACTCGCGGCAACATATTTTACTGGTAGCACCACCAGGTACATATTTTTTCAGCAAAGACCGCTTAGCCATAATGGTGTCCCGCAAACGGAGTCTACCCCTACTACAATTGGCAGGCCTCAATCCTTGTTACATTAGCTCTGACGTCACATCCGGTGAACGTGAATGCCTAACCCTATTTCCTGTCGGTTACGGAGACGAATACGTTGAAGAGGAAAGTATTAAGGAAGAGGAGGAAGGGGTAAGACTTTTAAAATAAATGAACATTCTGAACAATTATTGTACTACATCTTTAGATGGCTAGGTAATTAGATTTATTTAGTTTAATTGGGACTTTTATGTATTTATTTATTGGCAGGTTGCTGGAAAATAGAGTTAGGGTGTCCGACTCACTCGACTTTTCGAGCTAAATTAAAACTTTTGGTAGAATTTTGTTCTATAAACATAGATTTGTCGCCCAAAAAATGCAAAATCTAATAAGTTTTATTAAACAATCATGCAGCAGGACTGCAGTGCCTACACCCCATTATTATTTTTCTGTACAACGGATTTAAGCTTTTGCGTTAATGCTCCAACATCTGAAATGATTTGAACAGCCGTTGGACCTGTCTTTCTTGTGTCATTATCATTATTTTTATTTCCAGGAGGTAGTGGCGGTGACAGAAGCAGTAGATACTGTTGAAGTAAGTAACCTGTCATCTTATTTTTATTATCTTGTAGAATACAATGGTAAAACACAACAAACATTTGCAGTGATGTTATTTTTTTAAACATTCTTTCAATTGTATTCATTTGTTTTCTAGCCTGACGCCCCTGACGAGGCAAAAGAAGATGAGGACGAAGATGAAGAAGAAGATTAATATGTATTTATTTCAAGTTTTAATTTGCTTATAATATATTATTTATTTAATACCTCAGTTGTTTATGATCCTGAAATCACGCTACTCGCTATTAACGAAGCGTTGGACACTTAATCAAATCTGCTTGAACGCGAACTTTTAGCGTAGTCGGTTACATTGTATGAAAAGTATTTTTACGCCGCCGATGACAAACAAAGCATTAAACCACGGGGACAGAAGTATGGTCATATAAGTAAGGGTATAACACAGTTCAGCAGCGGTCCCTTAAGCTTAGGTTTCCTAGAAAAGCGGTGCCGTTATCTAACGGCCGTAATGTAACGTTGGGTGACGTCACCCATACGTTGTCTATAAATAACATCGGAGTAGGTTTTCTAGAGAACGTTAAGTGTCACCGTAACGTCAAATAGCGGTGCTGTCATTTGCATGAAAGCCGTCATAGCGGTGATAAACATTAGTTCAACGTTTTTCGCGTGTAGCGGTGCCCATATTTAATTAATACAATGAGTGGAAACGTGACTTGGACGAGCGAAAATGATTGTTTTTTTTGCATTATGTTAAAAAGTAAAGACGGCTGTTATTAACAACCGTAAAATGACGCCCGTTAGTTAACGGCACCGCTTTTCTAGGATTTTATATAAACAATAAAAAATTATATGATAGTAGATATTTTGTATCCTTGAAAAAGACAACCCAGAAGTCGGTCACTCATATCTCCTCCTATTCCTTTCCATTCTCTTATCTACGCGGGCGCATCATTATACTTAGCTTAGGTCTATTAGCTCTTTAGTAAAAAATAAACATACCGGTCAGTTAATCAATTTTTTGCATTTTTTATTGAGATGGGAGTGATTTATTATCTACAAATAACAAAATCAAAAGTTTGCGCTTTTATCATATAAACGTTATTTTCCTCTTAACCTATCGATATGTTACCGGAATTCTTAATTCGTTCATCTGGATAATATCCAAACAACATATCGACAAAATCCATGTTTCCTTCGGTCTCGCAAGGTGAAGAAGGCACACTCTTACATGCGCGGATGCAACTGGGTTTAGTTTTGAAATTGTTCTCATTCGCCCCACAACCGCTGTACCTAAACTGATGGCATTTCTGTGTTGAAGGATTGAATGCCCATCTAAAAAGGTTAAACAAATAATGCAATAGTTTTAGAGTTAATTATTAGATACGTTCTATAGGGGCGTAGCAGTATTAACATATTCTGCTAGCTCGCAATTCATTAGGATTTTTTAATGCAATAGGAGTTTAACTGGCAGGAGGCTCACCTGATGTTTAGTGATACCGCTGCCCATGGACACTCACATTGCCAGAAGGATCGCAAGTGCGTTGCTGGCCTTTGAAGAATTGGTAGGTACGCTCTTTTCTTGAAGGACCCTAAGTCGAATTGGCTCGGAAATACTTCCGTGGGCAGCTGGGTCCAAATAGCGGTGTTGCGCGGCAAAAACCCGAAGGCGGTTAACAATTCAATGTTATTTATTTTCTATGTAAAGATCGCTGCGTTCTTTACGCACTTTGACCACCTAAATAACTGTGTTCCATAGTTATTATTTATATTGTTCCATGCAAAATAATTAAGTTTTAATAAGGCCCTCAGGTGTAATAATTTTTCAGACACGATTTGTTATGGCACCACAGATAATTTAATAATTTAGAGAAACCAGTACCTACTTACCTAATGATGGTCTGATTACAGTTCCCTCTAGCAGGAAATACGAAGCAAAAATTAGGTCGACCGTAAGCGTTTGATACGTAGGCCCACGGCGGTGGTGGTACCCCTATTATACCTTCATCGTATTCTATAGAAGCCATATAGATTATACATTACATACATTTTATTAATAAAAAAATATTTATCACTGTAAGAATTTGTTGATACCAAGTAAAGTCAAGACGAGAACTCAAATATGCTTAGGAAAACATAATCAAACGTTTTACTAGTCTAGTTGCCGCTTAACTACCGAATATTGGAACGAAGTTCCTTATCGCGCGTTGCGAAAGGTGTAACGACACTTTTTGCTATAGTTGTTCTATTTTATATTTTCGATTTACTTATCGCCAACGTCCATACCACGTTGAATACACCGGTTCTCGTCCGATCACCGAAGTTAAGCAACGTCGGGCGAGGTCAGTACTTGGATGGGTGACCGCCTGGGAACACCTCGTGATGTTGGCTTTTTTTTTTCGTAGCGATAAGAAATGAAAATTATGTTTAGAATCACTTAACTAAATTAGTCGTAGTAAACGTACACCAGAATCACTGTACAATAATAATTGCGGGGTCCCTAGTTTCCTTGCAAAATAAAATACCTTTAAAAAATATTCATTATAATAAATAAATAAATAATGTTTCATTTGAATATGGTCGTGAAATTCTGTGAATTCAAAAATTAGTGAACTAATATCATAACGAGAACAGCTTATACAAGGAGATGCACCAGATCATAGTTGAGACTGAATTAAAACATCGTTGAACCACGAAATACGAAATATGCTTATTAATTGTGCCACTTAATTTATATTTAGGTTATTTTACTATTAAATCGCTGCGTAGCACAACATCATCATACTTCTTCCTCTTTTAGATTCCTGGTCTCTTAAAACTTTAATAGACGATGAAATATAAGATTGGTGTCGAGAAAATCTATCATACTGTTATGATACCAATTAACATATAAATTAATCGAAAGGAACTTCGTTCCACCCGGGTGTCCCTTGACACCTCTCAAGTTTTTTTGTATATTATGAATTTATTTGCTATCTACATTTATTGAAATAGTCATATTTGACTTAATTTCTCGAAGAAATTTCGAAGTAAGCCAGCTAAAATTGTTTTCTAGTTTAACAAACTAACCTCTCCAGGGTGGCGGTAACCCGGGGTCCCTATTAACATCAAATTCGTCCCAGCTGTTTGCCTGTTCAGTCAAATTCTTATACATCGCAATATACTCGTCCATACTCTTTTCATCGTCCTCCGGTTTCCATATGTCCCATTGGCTCATATTCCATAAATATTTCTTGTCATCATCAGAAGTTTCTATTTGTTCTACTCTGCTGCCGCAAGCAGAAACATAAATTATACAGTTGAGAACAATCGCGATCGCGAGCATTGTTACTCGAAATTAACTTTTCTATGTTGATAATTAACAAGTGCGATTTTAATTGCAATTCAAGTTTTAATTTGGTAATTTATTTACACGTTACGTTTGAGTATTGTTAGTATTAGGTATTATATGGAATAATAAAGTTTACTATTTCTAAAAGTTGATAGTTTTCAAGCCTAATAATGTTTATTTTTTTCAATCTTTACAAATTTGAAATATACAGTTTAGATTTGTTATATAGATTTTTTCTTATCCTAATATCTATATCTTCCTTCAATAACATTGATCGAAACCCTTTCACGGGTAAAGGCATCCTCCAGCTTTTTCCAAATCCAATGGCTTTCATACTGCAGCACTTCCTGATAACGCTTCTATCCACAAATCAGTTTTCAAGCCTATATCAACTATATTCATGAATTTCGGAGTAAGTTCGTAGTATTTATTTAAAATCAAAGAGATATTGTTGGAATATTTATTAAAAAACTAGAATTACAAAGATATCATAGTTATCTAATTATTACATAATGAAACAGTCTTTTCAATCACACAGCTCAACAGATGTCGCGTACAGTCATCAAATGATCAGAAACTTGTCGCTAACTTCATAGCTATCGTGAATGTCGTTCATCTTCTATTTTCAAACTATTATATGCACCTACTTCAATACAGCCATGAAGTTAGCCAAATATTCGTTTTTGTTGTCAAATTTTTGGCGCATTCTTTCAAATTCGCGACATCACAGAACACAAACATTATGCAAAGATCTATCTTCTAATAGTTTTTTTTTATATATCTAGTAACATAAACCATAGATTGTTCATATTAGAATCGTATTTCAGAATATTTACTCAAGAAACATAGGATTCTTAAGCTATGCTTTGGAATACGGATTTAAATTATTCAACATTCAGATTTTATATCCAAAAATGTCTATAGAGAAATGGCTAAGCCTGAACTTGGCAAGCTAAGGTCCGATTTCTTCAAGTTATTCTCGTCTTAAGCACTGCCATACAATGATATTATTTAGCTGAAACATTTCATTTAAATTATAACAATTATATAACCAAAATTATTAAATTATCTTAATATTTTATATAATCACATGTTCAACTTATGAACTATTAAAGTTGACGCATATTAAACAGTCGTCGGACAATAAATGTCACTGTCAGTAGGAATATGCACGCAATTCAACCCGTTATCGATACTTAGCTACCTGTGCACGCACTCTGACTCCTGATTGGTCGTTACGAGTAAGGGTTATTGTTGTTCCATAAAACCCATAAAACATCTAAGTGCGAGCGAGACAGCCCGATAAATATGATTAATGATCCGAAGCCTTAGTTCATAATGCGTCGACTATAGTAATAACTAATGTTATTTGTTTATTTAATTTGAAACATGGCACAGAAATTAAATTGGTAACAATTTATTGGGTAAAGGAAATGAACAAATTATTTAAAAATTATAAACAAATCAACAATGAATTAATAAGTCTCATTGCACCGGTTTAACTACTCTTTAATAAACAAATCGTGTAATAAGGCTGATTAAGGAATTACCCAATTTCAATATAGTTCTAATATCCAATATTACTTGGGATCGCGAGGTACAAAAACTATATAAAAGCTGGTCGAATCGCATGTAGTTTTCAGTTTTCAAACTTGTTTTGTGCTTAATAAAAAATAGTTAACACACATTTTCATAGCTTAGTTATAAATTTTACATTAATATTCGTCACGTGTACTATATGTTAAGAAAAAAACTATGTATGCCTTATAATGCTACAAACATATTTGACCAGTATTGATCGTCAGTTAATATTTACAGCCGATATGTTTGTGGCGTTATACCGGGGGCTTTAACCAAGGCGTAGATGTTGAAAGTATTTGTTCAATTTACTGGGTCAGATATGTTTGTAGCACTATAGCGGAAACGGAAGACCATCAAACATACGTCACACGTCACCCTTGTAACTTTATACATACGATGTCATTTCAGTTGATAAAATTTTATACTAAAATAACCTTTGGAAAATATTAATGTCAAATAATAACAGATACAATTGAATCAACGATAAAAAAATATATTTTATAAGTAAATAATTGGAAGTCATTTCCCTTATTCAACATAATATATTCATATCTAAACAATCCTTTAAATTTTTCCTCGGGGTATAAAAGTAAAATAGAAAATACTGGTCTTACAGAAATGAATTTCTATAGTCTATACATGTCACGAGTCGAACTAGAAATCGTCTAAGCAGAAGTCGAAGTGGTCCTCCAACACCTTGTACTGTTTCGTGGAGAACATACACTTTGGACAAGTGTACACCTGGAAAGAGTTAGATATTAGAAGGCAATAGATAAAAATAGGAGGAAATAGAAAAGCGCGATTATTTAAACACTTCAAGTCAGCTCTTCGTCCGGTTAGATTGCAACAAGCTGCTACAACATCGAAAAAATTTATAAGGTCTATACTAAGGAAGAGTTTGTATGTTTAAATGCGATATTATTTTTTTAAAGGCCGGCAACGCACTCGCCATACCTCGGGTATTGAGTATCGATGGGCGGCGGTATCACTTAACAGAGCCTCCAAGCCGTTTGCGTTTGTTATATAAAAAACAATTTGAATGGATTTTTTTGGGGTTTTTTAGTGTTAGGTAGGCCATTTATCAAGTAACGTAATAATTAATTGGGCTCCTAGTCCATAGTCATGCAATAAATTAATTCCACAATAAAATAATAATCAACTATTTTGTCTTGATCACTTATAATATAAATGTAAGAGACAAAAAAATATTTAGGCTTAAAAGCGAACTCTCCTATACGTATTCATATTCATTCCTAAAAACTCAATTATTATTGTTATTAACAATAGTACTCTATCTCTTTCAGTCAAATTGTACTTACGCTGTGATGAAAAGAGAGAGGTAGTGTTAAAATAGTATGAATATTTACATATGGAGTATCACTTTAAATTAAAGGATTTTGTGAGATTGGAAAATAACTCAAAAATATAAAAAATGTTGGTGACTGGCACAATGATTTGTTAGGTTTAGTAGTTAAAATACACGAAACCACAACATCAAAAGGCCATGCCTGTTAATTAAATTCGTATAAAAATGTCCTTACCCCCAAACGCATAAGTGTGGAATTTTGAAAAACACTATGAATTTAGTTTTTAAAAATCATTTAATAAATAAAAAAAAATTTGAAATGCAATTAAATGGTAACTTTGATTTAATATAAATACTCTGGTTATTGTTATGTTAACGTTATATTTTCTTTGTAATTTTTTTTATATTTAATTTTAAGTCATGTCACTTTGGACCTTGCCTTTAGTAATCCTGACAATTGCTCCAATCTAATTCAGAATTTATACCATTATATAACTCTTCGAAATCGCCTTATGTATAAGAGGAAAGATTTGTATGTTTGTTACGAAACTCAAAAACTACCTCACCGTTTTCTAAAAGTCGTTATTCAAACTTAAACTCAAAATATATTATATAGGTAAACGAGGTTAAACAAATTGTAAATTTACATTTACCACTAGTTCGCAAGTCAAGGGCGTAGAGCGGGTAAGAAGAACTGGCAAGAAACTTCCTACCACTCTTTTTAATCGCCAAGTATTGATCATACAAATTGTTTGAACTGGAGCAAATCAATCCCGAGGATTAGGATCATTTAAGTATTCGTCAATTAGATTTATTATATTGCTACGTAATCTCTGAGTAAAAATTTCCAAAATATTAAAATAATGTCCAGCAGAGACTATACGCATCAGTTAAACATCAGGACCTAACTACAATATTAGTTTATTACATTATTTAAATTTTAAGGTGTAATTCCGCTATTAATTTATTATATTATAATAAACATGAATCGACATGTTGTTGTAATAGTATCAGAGTTTTGAACGGCTTATCGCACACCGGACAGTCGTAGCGTATCGCAGGGGGCGTGGTCTCGTGTACTCCGTTCTTTTCTTCTTTTACGATCTTCTTTTTTCGAGTCTTCCATTAAAATAAAATAAAACTAAATATGTTATAATATAATATTATAAATATGTTAACATAAAATATATTCTAAGAGCAATTAACGATATCAGAGACAGAACTTATTGAAAAAAATCAAAAAGTCATTAAAATTTTGCTTCCGTTTAATTTTTAACGCGTGACCATTGTGTGCCTTACAAGCCGAACCAAAAATTCTTTCACCGAAATCGAACCTTCAGGTCATGTATGTACGTCAGAAGTAACCTATTGTAATATATTATATATATTACAACCTATGTTTATAAAATAAAATCACAGTCAAAATTTGACAATCTTAGTAAAAAATAGACAAATCTAGAACCTGAAAAATTTCGATACTAAACTTACCACGCCCTCAGCAGAACCAGAAATGGCTGATACAGAGGCTGTATTGGCGGCCACAGATCCAGGGGAAGTCGATGTTTTGGCTGAGGTGGCTGAGATACGGGCTGAAGCCGTTTTGAACACACTAGGACTCATTTTGCGAACTTCTTGCAGCTGAAAACCAGAAAAATATACAAATTAAAAAGGACGAAATAGTGATCTCTACTCGTCTCTTTCTCTTCAATACCCGATGAGTTCGATGTTTTACTACTAACGAATAATGTCATGAGGCCAGGCATAGGACAGCTTTACCTGCTCAATCCAGGCCAACGCGACAGCTTCTAAACTTACTTCATCTAACTAAATTTTAAAAGTCAACATAGCCTGGCCTTGGAGCCTGATACGTGATCTACAAATATAGCCAGAGTTAAGAGTAAAAAATACTTACTCTTAAGTTACTTAAGTCAATTCGATTAGTCTATGTTACATATTTTATAATCTTTATATATATCATTCTTCTGTACTTGATTATGTCACTGAACTCCTCTTAAGGGAGCGTTCAAGTATTGCGTAACGCAATTTTTGGAGATTATTGCCCCCCCCATGTAACTCGCCGTAACGTTATTCAGTATCTAAGTACAGTACTGTACCCAAGTATAGTAAAACGTTTCGTGACCTCCTAGTGACTCTTTAGTTACTATTATGTGGTGTAAGTCGAAAAAAATATTAACAATAACGCATTTAATCCCCGCATCGTAATGTTTTACAAAAGGAAATAATATGTTACGTAATAATTGAACTCTCCTTAAACGGCTGGACCGATTTGTATTGATTTTTGTATGCATTTGGATGGCGCACTAGATGGTTTAGATTCACAAAACAGGCCGGCAGATGGAGCTGCAGTCGGTACTTTCATACTTTGTTTAATATCCTAATCGCTTTCAATATCATGACAACGTTTATCGGGTCCTCTAGTGATATATATTTTTTAATCCAACGGAATATTTCATACACGTTACGTTAATAATTCCAATTTAAATATCAAATGGTTACCAATGTAATGTCTATTAAACCGTTATTGCTAAAAAGCAGAAAACAGATTCTTACCTGACTTGACATCTCCGCGTGCTTTTTCTGTAAAACTCTGAGGTCAGTCGCAATTTTCTCTTTCTCAGCGACCATTTCTTCACGCGATTTACGTTCCGCCTCGAAGTCACTCCTGAATTAATAAATTTTGTATATCTCAATCATGGTTATTAACCAAAAAATATATAAATATTTCTCTGAACAATAACGCCTTTAGTACACCTACGCGTTCGTATGCGGCTGCGAATCTTTGCGAAATAATTGCGGTAGCGAAATATCTGCGGAACGTTAGTACACTGCAGGTTTTTCGCAAGGATATGTCATTGTAGCTTTCGTGGGCTGTAGGTGCAGACGTCGTTTCAGAATGTCATCTGAGTCAGATTCTGAAGAGGATTTTGTAATCAACATGCCCAACTAAATATAATTCGGGATAATTTCGAATCAAATTCATTAATAATTCAATATTTTCGGCTTCCATTGTGCGAAATTCTGTCCTCACTGACAGAACGCGTGGTGACGCCTTGCGATGCGAAACTTCATTAGCGAAATGTCTGCGTCTGTGTAACAGCCATTTCGCAGTTAGTTGCGAAACAATACCGACAAGGACGCAACTATTTCATCTAGCTATATATTAGAGCGAGACAAAACACATGCGAAACGTTGCCATACAACTTACAGTTTTTTCGTCGTTTCGCTGCCGCATGCGATTGCGTAGGTGTACTAAAGGCGTAAACGAACAAATAATTATCTGAACACGTTAACAGTCGTGGTAGTTATCTAATACCACGACGCATTTTATGTTAAATGTATGAGCATTTGTCTATGTACGCATTTAGCACGTGCTCGGTAAAGGCAAACATCCTGAAGAAACGGTCAAGCCGACCTAATAAGTCGACTGCGTGTATCAGTCACAAAAGGCTGATCACTTACTTCCCTATTAGAAAAAACAAATGACCCCAAACCATATCTAAGGCCCAGAGCATAAAGCCCACTGGATTATAAAAAGATAGACAGCCGGTTCATTTTATACTAAGTTCAGAACCTATTTGGGTTTAAGCCTGATAAAAAAACATATATTTTAACACAAAACGGGCGAGACTATAGCCAAACAAAAATTAACTGTGAACGAAGTGGTATAAGAAATTCTAAAAAGACCATTTTAGAAATAGTTACAGAATGTAAGTGAACTAACTTTTTTTATATATTTATTATATATAATTCTCGATATTGCTACACAATCCATGTAGCTGGGAAGTTCTGTGACTTCCTGATATACTTACTACACCAGGATTACGTGTTTGTTGACACAAAAAGTGGCGGAGAGTTTATTGCCAGATTTTCTCTTCCGTTCTACGCTCTTGATTTGAGAACTGGCAGTAAATGTAAAATTAGAAGCATTTAATGTATATTTCTTTTTTGACGTTCATAAGTGTACATTGTGTTACCTACATGAATAAATGATTTTTTACTTTTTTTACGAAGTCAATTGTGTAATATTATTATAATTACTTCATTCGATATAATTAGTGCTAATACCAATTTTGGTTTAGTATTTATATTGAATACGAAAAATTGTATATATATTTCAAAGATTTAGGATTATTTACAGCACCAACTATTTTTTGTATTTAAAAATTAATATTGAATAAATTAATAAATAAAATGCCCTGGTATATGCAAAAATTCATAAGACATATTCTATACATACTTGTACAATTCAACTTGAGCCCTCAATAGTTCACAGTCTTCATTATGAGCGGCGAGCATCACAATTTCGTTTTCCAGGCTTTGAACCTCTTCCCCTCGTGCTACTAGTGCCGCTGTTAATTGCTCCACGCCAGGGGTCTGTATGGCACAAGAGAAAAGACTGAAATTTCTCAAGACACAAAATTGACAGTAAACTGATATCATATAAAATATTAACTATTATTATTTTTAGGGGTGCGTAAGTAACTTTCAACCCTTTGATTTTGTTGAACCAATGTATTTGGTTGGTAATGGCGAATATTGGACAATGGTTAACACTAGTTAGTGCGGCAAAGAAAATAAAGTCACTTGAACGTGAATCACTTCGTCACTCACTGAATCATACAAAGAAATTTCTATCCGTCCCCATACTTCATAAACAGCTACAGGAATGTATGATCAGAAAAAAGATTTCTTTTTCTCAGAGCGGGTTACAAAAATTTTATGTTTTAAATATCCTACTCGAATGTAAAATCCGGCTCGAAGGACTAAAAATGTATGACTACAACATGTCAAATGCACATGTTTCACTCACCTCTTCTCGTTTCGTCAATGTTTTCTTCAACAGCTCGTTGTAATCCTTGAATATTCCTTCGAATATTGTAAAAGTACCTTTCAATTGAGCGCTGAAAATATAAAGATTACTTTAAAATTAAAATAAACACAACTCACGTAACACACAACGTATAGTGTTTTTTAATATTTTTCGGTAAATTCTCACTTCACTCAATCAGTTTCAAAGTTCTATGTACAAATGTTCTATGTAAAGGTAATTTGATGTTACCCTGGCCAGCCTTTGAAATATAATAGCATGATGTCATCAGGCATTTTTGCGGTGAAATATTTATTTTATGGACCTTTTCACGTCAAAATAATAAACAAAATACTGTATAAATATTATTTAAAAAAAGATTTTTAAAACGAGAAAGAAAATATACATCATGTGATTGAACTGTATCTGAAATACGCCATTTAAATATTTTGAAGAATCAGTATTGTAAAGTTGTCTTCGAAATCGATTAGTTTCAAGTTACATGTCAAAACAGAATAAACTTTTTAATATACGCTTACGTTCCAATGTAACATCAATTCTATATAATTCGATATGTTGTACTTCCATTGTTCCAATGCTGTAGACTCGTCCGTGGGGCAAGCTACAAATATTAATAATTTTGCGAAACGTGCGCGCGCAACTTAAGAGATTTCACTTTTTAATTTTGTCACATCGCGCCTAATGAAGTATTACTTCAAAAAAATTAAATGAATCTGATTGCACTCTATTCACTAAGCACTTTTCCTTTTCATTACATAATAAACTTACAATTTTCCAGAAAGTTTTGTCGTTAACTTCGAAATCTTTTGTTAAACGTGCAGTCAATCCCGAAAGAAAAATTTCAATAGATTGACTTTCCAATGTAACATAACTTTATATTCGATATTACTACAACACTATTTTAACCGGATTGGTTATGTAATGCTATAAATATTACAACTATTTAACTTAATTGGACACGGTGACGCGATCGCTTTAATTTGTCACGCTAAAGTGTTTCGGAAAATTTAAAGATTATATTAAATAGTTGTCAATTTATACATAATAAACACAACTTCGCCAAAAAAGCGTCAAAATAGTTTTGTTAAAGGTGCTAAAGTGAAAAAAAATAGTTAATTTGAATGCATTTAAAACATAAAGATGATATATTGTACTTTATTATTATTATTTTACGTTGTTATTAAATTAATAATAATAATCCCTAGAGCAGTGCTAACCTAGTGGCTTCAGCCCGAGACTCTTATCCCAGATATCGTAGCTTCGATCCCCGGCTGTGCACCAATGGACTTTCTGTCTATATGCGCATTATTATACACGAAAGGTGAGGAAACCGACTTGCCTTAGACCCAAAACGTCGGCGGCGTGTCAGGCACAGGAGGCCAATCACCTACTTGCCTATTAGATTGACAAATGACCATGAAACAGATACAGAAATCTGAGGCCCAGACTAAAAAAGCATCTGTTAATAAATAGCTAGGCCGGTTTCCTCACGATGTTTTCCTTGACCGAAGAAGCAAGTGCTACTTGCACACATAGACGGGATGTATTAATATATAGCATTTTAATTAAACTCACCCATTTGTCAAGTTATTGAGATATTCAGCTATGTGTTTAAGTGTGCGATCGTATAGTTTAACATTGGCGAGATACCCTTTGTAATGCGGGGACCCTTCACCTTCACAATTCATTGTCATATGTACTGGTTGGAACACCTGACAATTATAAAAAAAATTGTGCGTGTACTAGATGTACACACGTAAGAAGTAAAACTTCTTTATGATCTTATTTTTCGAAAAATGATCTACTATATGCAAGTTTACAGAAATTCGTTAAATTAGATACAGTTAAAGGCTTTTATTATCATAGACATGAATACAAATATTTCATTTTACCTTATTACTACGAAGATTATTATAGAATTTCATTAATTGTAATAGAATTATTACTATCATTGAAAAACGTGACGATTTGCTACAAAATTTCTCCCATACGTCGATAAAGAAGTTTCATTCCAACGCCGATAAAGAAGTTTGACTTCAAAAAGCAACATGGCGCGTAACCGAAAAATGTGACGCGTAACGAAAAAATGTTACACTAAATTTTTTTCCAACCTCGATAAAGAAGTTTCACTTCAAAAAACTCTAAAAGAAATCTGAAGTATTTCCGAACCAATTCGACTTAGGGTCCATCAAAAAAAGAGCGTACCAACTCGTGAATGTTCAATTACGACTTGTAATTTCCATCCTCGGTCTAGAACGTATTGCTACATACTTAACCTACACAGTCTCAAACTCAAAATATCTTTATTCATGTATGTAAACAAGTACACTTATGAATTGTTAGAATGAAGTTAAATTAATTGTAAATTTACATTTACTACCAGTTCGCAAGTCAAGGGCGTAGAGCGGGTAAGAAGAACTGGCAAGAAACTCTCCGCCACTCTTTTTAATCGCCAAGTATTGTCATACAAATTGTTGGAACTGGAGCAAATCAATGACAAGGATTAGGATCATTTAAGTATTCCTCAAATTTATAAAAAGCTTTATTGATTAATTTTCGTTTAACGAGGGCTTTGAATTTATTTAGTCTATTTTCTTAGGTAGAATACTCACTGCTTGCTTTAGAAATACGACCGTGCCCTCCATGCACCGCAAAACCCTCCCAAAGGCCGATAACAAATTTAAATTTAATTAAAAATTGCACTCGAACCGGGAATCGAACCCGGTACCCCTCACCTAGCAGTCACTTAATAAGACCGCTAGGCTATGAGGCTCTTCTTGCACACGGGCCTAAGCCAAGTGAACAGCTGTTGTTAATGGTTTGTATTATTTAGATAATCATAAAGATATGGACTACGTCAGAAAATAAAATTTCATTAAATTTACTGAAGAAGAGTTTATATACGAATCTTCTGTGCGTGTAATTAAACTGTTCCTAAATGGCTGGACCAATTGTGATGAAATTTTTGTGTGTTTACAATTAGGGGATTTTTTGTATTTGACGTGTGACGGGTCCGCTAGTTTATAAATAATATCATACCATAGTCTGGCAAGATTTTATTCTGGTATTTAACTCCATTATTTGCTCTTTGTATGTCTTCACCATATCGGAGACACCACCTTTGTATTTTGCAAACTCCAACTAAAAAACACAGACTAGATAAAAAAAAATGTATCTATGTTATTTAAAAAATTTAACTTAAATGATACACACAGAAATGTGTATGTATTTTGTTCTGCTCTATATTACTAATTAATTTTAAGACATATTGGTATAGGACAAACATATTTTTAAGAAATTTATAATTAAGTTTGTTATGGAAGAGCTGGGAACCCTGACACAGGTATTTTATTTACTTAAAAGGGTTCCCACATCTTACACATTGTAATGCATATCTTTATATATATAATTCTTATGTGAGCGTGTATGTCACTGAACTTCTCTCAAACGACTGGACCGATTTTGATGAAATTTTTTGTGTGTGTTCAAGGGGATCTGGGAATGGTTTAGATTCACAAATCAGCCCGGCAGATGGCACTGCAGTCGGTACTTTCATACTTTGCTTAATATCCTAATCGCTTTAAATATCATGCAGGACAACGTCTGTGGGGTCCACTAGTGTACTTATAATGAATAAACACATATTTTTATAATGTGTATTGTGTTACAAATATTTTCTTTAAATAAAATAAAATTATAGGCGCTACAATCTTTTTAGGTCTGGGCCTCAAATTTCTGTATCTGTTTCATGATCATTTGTCAATTTAACCTGCAAGTAGGCGATCAGCCTTCTGTGCCTGACACGGCATCGGCTGTTTGTATCTAAGGCAAGCCGGTTACCTCACGATGATTTCTTTTACCGTCAGAGCGAATGTTAAATGCGCACATAAAGAAAGTCCATTAGTGCACAGCCGGGGATCGAACCTACCACCTCAGGGATGAGAGTCGCACCACTGGCACCACTAGGCCATCACTGCTCTAAATATTTTCTTTAGTCAGGTAAAATCAGTGGATCATATACACAACTGTGGGTTTAAGAATTAATGACCTTAATAATTTCCTTCAGAAAAAGCATTGGTGTACAGCCAGGGTTAAACATGGGACCTTAGTATGTATGAAACAATTTTACCTTAATATTTTCCAAATCTAATATTGTAATCTGTGCCTTTTTCAGATCGTTCAGTAGTGACGACACTTTCCCTTCTAGAATCTGTATTACTTCATCTCTCTTCTGTATTTCGTTGTTGTGAACATTCTGTAATCAAGAATATGCCTATTAAGAACCTGTGCAACGCCGTAGACCTGCATACAAATCGATTGCTATGTATTGTATTTCCATTATAATTATGTATATCATTCATATTGTGTATATGTTGACTTTTATTTATTAATTTACACCTTTTGCGTAAGATGTAAATAATAATAATCACAATAAACTTAAAAGAAAAGAAGAACATGGTGCATCTTTTATATTTATACTAGCAAACCGGCCAAGCGTTGCTGTGGCTAAGGTTTATGTTATATTACATAGTAGTAAACTATTCAAGGGAAACGGTAGGAGAACACCAGTCATGGGGACCACCATGCTTTTTTGGTGGTTATGCCATTAAATTGTAGCTTATGTGAAACGTTGCTACTTTCAACACAAGAAACGCCATCTGTTAGAATTGTATCAAATAATAAACAAATATTTACAATAAAATAATATTGCGGGTATAAATTGAGATGTAAGCTATCCTATCTTTTAAGTTGGATCAAACTACACACGGTGTGCAAATTTGATTGATATCGGTTCGGTAGTTTAGGAGTCCATAGCGGACAAACAAGTGACACGTAATTTAAATATATTAAGATTTTGTGTTTTTCCGATAACTTATAACCACAAATGATTTGAAATATTAAAATAACCTTGTAAACAACTCCAGTTTAAACATTTAGTTACGTAGTGCATTAATATCAAAATGCATTTATTACATTAAATTTACAAATCCTTTGTTGTATTGTTTAAATTTACTTAAATTAGTTTTTATTTAATCATTAGCAACTTTTCTCTATGGTCAAAGGAAAGAAGATTTTTATAGAACATATCTATACACTAATTAAAAGTGTTTCTTTAAATATTTGCAAAACTATTTTAAGCTTACCATAGCCATAAATTTCATCTTTTTTTGCAACTCTTCAATTGTGCCATGCAACTGTTTTAACTCTTCTGTGTGGTTTTTTTCTTTACTTGATAATAACAACTAAAAATAAAAAAATAAATAAGTTACATATTTGTAAATGATTCAATGTTTTAGAGACTTTTTTAAATAATTTTTAAGTGTCTAAACATTTACCTCTGTAGTATTCAATTTGCCTTTTAAATCGTCCCTTTCCTTGGAAGTGGCATTGACTATATGCTCTAGGGATTCCCTTTGCCATGTAAGTTTTTCATTGTCAACTATCACCTGAAAATACAATTGTTTGAAAACAAATGATGTATCTAAGTTCTTTTTACAGTCTGGTACAGAGCCAAGCCTCTTACTAGGCTGAACTTAAAAACTTAAACCTTTGGGCAAGACTTACTTTTTTATGCCCAATAAAAATAGATAAAAACTTAAACCTGCGAGCAAGACTTACTTTTTTATGCCCAATAAAAATAGATAAAACTTTTTTACTAAGTGGTGAGTAGCAAAAATATATTCACCTGTCTTCTTTGCTTCTCTACCAATTCCAACTGGGCTGTTAGTTTATTAATTGTATCGTCATCTGGCGATGTCACAAATTCTACTCCTGATGATGGACCAGACTTAACACCATTGGTCAGTGACATCTCTTTGGTTTTAGTAATAAGCACAATCTCTTCTTTAAGTTTTCGGTTCTGTAATCTTAACTGTTAAAGAAATAGGTTTTTTATTAAAATATGATGCTTAATAAAATTATTCCCTATTTAGTATAAAATTGTTTTCCCCTTTATTCGATGTTTTTATTGTAATATCAGATAAGCATATTCAAGAACATGTTTTGGTGAGAAATGCAGGTAAGCAAATATGACAACAGACAGAAAAAAATCCAAAATCAGAATTAGATCAAAATGTTATAAAATATTTGAAAGATATAATAGTTTATAACCCTAAAATTATAAATGAGTTATAAACAATAAAATACCTTTTCAACAAGTGCCCTAGTTTCATCAAATTTCTCTTTATGTAATTTATGTGTTTGGAGCATATCATCCTGGCATGAGGCAATCAATGAAAACTGCTCCTTCAAAGAATCATTATTTTGCTTCAGTGTCTCCTTTAATACAACATTCTCATCTAAGAGTTCTCCAAACCGTTTCTGTAGTTCTTCTGTACTTCGGTCATCAGTAATTAGAGTACTAGCCACCATCATACTTGCAGGGGATGGCTAAAGAATAGAATGTAAAGTGTTTTTAATAATAAAAAAGTATTACTTATGTGTAACAAAAATATATAATGCTCATAGTTAATTTCTATGTGTTTGTGTCCAATGCTTTATCAATTGTTGAAAGGTAAAGTCCCTACTGTATTTTCCTCAATAATATTGTGTAGTAAACACTAAACCATTAAGTGCACACTATAAATGAGTCATTAAGATGGTTTGTAAAAAGGCATAAAATGTCTATATTAATAATAAAGGTAGTAAATAATAAATAATATATTCTAAATTTTTAACTACCTTATATTTTTGAAACCTTATTAACTTCAAATGAAACAAATATTCACTTACACTATCACCAAGGCTGAATTGTGCCTTAAAGGCCTTGTTTGCTTGTTCAGGCAGATCCTTAATGACATCATCCAGGATTGGAGTCTCGACACTTCCACTTGGTACTTCCAAAACAGCACCATTGCTTTTTCCCTCTAAGCTTCCCGGGGAAGAGCCCAAAATGATTATGAACGAATCATCATCATTGTCAGCTTGCGACATGATTAATTTTTTATGCTGTGGTTTACTTGATAGATATTGTTCACCAGAGGCAAAAAACTTAATTAATTTCGGAAAAAATTAAGTGTCGAACCTATCCATGATTGACCATTTTTGAAACATATATTTATTTAACTGCCAGTCACCATTTGCAATGTAAACTTTTTATCCAAAGTTACTATAAGTGTGTTTGGTAGTTACAGCATCAGTTTTTATAGATCACAAACCTTTAAAACGCTGTAACTAAGGAAGAAAAATTTACGCGCGGGAAATATTATCAATTTACTGGCGGTAAATATGCTGTATGCAGTAAATTTATGTATTTGGGTACTTTCAATTGCAATTCAAGATGTAAGATTAGTTTATAATTATGATTGATCTAGAAATGCAGGGGGTCATTTGGAAATGTATGTTGTTGAATAAAATGTCGTATGGTAAAAACAAAAACTGTAGGTTCCTAAGCTTGCTGTAAGTAAACGATAAAAATCACACGAAATGCTGTAAGTAGCGTTAAGTTTTTAAATGGGAAGAAGTAAGTATTTGTAAAGTAAAAATGCAATTTCTTTTGCTTTAGTAAATTTTGGCTAAAATGACTGGATTTTGTCTACATACAGCATTTAATCTTACTAAAAAAATATAAGTACGGCGTTTTCAACCGCGTATGTAAATTTTTTTCATCAGAGACACAGGACCCGGACATTCGTCGGTTTTTTTCTGACTGCAGTAAAGTCACTTTAGGTTTTGTCTACTTACAGCAAATATGTTTCCTACGTCGACATGATTAATTTTTTATGCTGTGGTTTACTTGATAGATATTTCAGTAAATGCAGAAACCTGCTGCTAGTAACTAAGTAACTACCCGATTTCTAACGTACACAAGGCTACTAAAACGTTTAATGTTAACGTAATAATCGTAATCATTAATTTTTTTATGAAAATAAAATTGTTTCGGAAAATGCCAGAACCACTTAAACCTATAGAATCAAAAAAGTAACCAATACCAAAAATATAATAAATACTTTCTAAACTACTATGAAAAATCACTACTTTGCCAGTAAACACTTTAATTATAAGTATTTTTAAACATTCACAAGATTATTTTTCTATAATATTTAGATTTTTTTATTTTATAACACAGATAAGAATTAAGTGTGATAACAAATATTATTTGAACATATTGTATTTCACAGATAAAGTGCATAATAGATTTGACGCTAAAATTATAAGAAAAAAAAATCGGTTGTCTGTAAAGTTGGTTTACTGACGATAGTTGAACGTGACAACGTCATAAAAAAATATTGATGGGATGGTTGCATTTTTCAAAAAAAAAAATCGGTTGTCTGTAAAGTTGGTTTACTGACGATAGTTGAACGTGACAACGTCATAAAAAAATATTGATGGGATGGTTGCATTTTTCAAAAAAAAAAAACGGTTGCTGTAAAGTGGTTTACTGACGATAGTTGAACGTGACAACGTCATAAAAAAATATTGATGGGGGATGGTTGGCATTTTTAAAAAAATAACAATTAAAATCGGTTGTCTGTAAAGTGGTTTACTGACGATAGTTGAACGTGACAACGTCATAAAAAAATATTGATGGGATGGTTGCATTTTTCAAAAAAAAAATTAAATTTTATTTGTTTGATAGGTATTTTGTATGGATATAGAGAAGGAGGTAAATGGAAATCACAATTGAATTGATCAAGTTACATTTATTTGTACGCATAAATACAATTATGTCAATTTTAAATGGAACGCCTCAGAGCGAGGTAACGACTCAGAGGAGGTAACGCCTCAAGAGAGGTAACGCCTCAGAGCGAGGTAACGCCGAAGTCATGTTTTTCGTGCGTGCAGCCGGCTCCACGAATTATAAGACGTAGTCAAAAATTAAATTTTATTTGTTTGATAGGTATTTTGTATGGAATAGAGAAGGAGTAAATGGAAATCACAATTGAATTGATCAAGTTACATTTATTTGTACGCATAAATACAATTATGTCAATTTTAAATGGAACGCCTCAGAGCGAGGTAACGACTCAGAGCGAGGTAACGCCTCAGAGAGAGGTAACGCCTCAGAGCGAGGTAACGCCGCATGAGTCATGTTTTTTCGTGCGTGCAGCCGGCTCCATCGAATTATAAGACTTGTCAGTCAAAAAATTAAATTTTATTTGTTTGAAGGTATTTTGTATGGAAGAGAAGGAGGTAAATGGAAATCACAATGAATGATCAAGTTACATTTATTTGTACGCAAAATACAATTATGTCAATTTTAATGGAACGCCTCAGAGCGAGGTAACGACTCAGAGCGAGGTAACGCCTCAGAGAGAGGTAACGCCTAGAGCAGGTAACGCCGCATGAGTCATGTTTTTTCGTGCGTGCAGCCGGCTCCATCGAATTATAAGACGTTGTCACGTCAAAAATGTATCCAAGTGCGAGTCGAACTCGCCCATGAAGGGTTCCGTTACAGCAAGCATAGATTAGGGATATAAGTTGAGTGAGGTGTTACTTGTTCCAACAAATTTTCGTTGAAATGGCGAATCGAAAGGGGTTATTATTTCCATTCGGCTACGAAACCTTAAAAAGCGATTTAGCGAAATGTTTATATAGATTTACTGTATAAGAGTAAACATGACCAATAAAGATTCATTTTAAACAACTAAAAAACCAGAAAAATGGCTTACAATTCAATGTATTTTTTTTTAATTTTTCTTATGTTGTTTGTATTATTTATCATGTGATTTCAGTTAGTCTTAATACCTGTAACTGTCTTGTTGTGTTTATAATCACTAAAATGGTGAATTGTAGATTACAGTCTACAGTCATATAGATGGGCAGAGGCAATTGAGTCCAAAGAGAAGGCGCTAACGGTTAGTTTGGATATAACGAACGCCTTCGATCGGATTTAGCATAAAGCACTTCTCTCGAAGCTTCCAGCCTATTCTCAGGGCTCCCCGGGAAATCATGCAACTGAATCTCCAGATTTCTGGCCGATCGGAGCCGACCAACCTTATTGCGACCTTAATCCCGTGAACGTAATCTTATCCCTGACCTTGCTTCTTCTGCATATCAATGATATGTTGCAACTTAGCATCATTCATTGCTACGCTGACGTTAGCACTGGGGATATTCTTTACTCGGGACATGCAGGTATTTCTCTAATGAACTACCGGAACTTGTGTCTGAAGTCAAAAGTGGAGTGGCGTCTACACGTGGAGTCTCGGACTGGGGTCGACTAAAGCTAGTCCGATTTATCCCCAAGAAGACACAAGTTTGCGCGTATATTTCCACTAAAAAGACCCTTTATCGCTACTCTTCTTTTCGCAGATACTCTTCTTAAAGCCACAGCCAGCATCGGAATACTTGGCGTTGACATGACGTTCAGTTACGCGGTCATTTGGAAGGACACGCTAAATTAGCCTTCAAGAAATTTGGTGTGCTCAGCAAGGCAAGGCTACCGCCTCCGGGTCATCGCTTGCAACTGTGTAAGGCGCAAATTCGGCGCGACATGGAGTACTGTTCTCACCTCGAGGCTGGGGGCTCCCCAGCACGAGCTCCATCCACGAAACCGTATGCAACGAAAAATACATATCAACAAAGACGTCATATCCCTTTCCGAGCGGATTGATCTCTTGGCATTGCGTAGAGATGTGGGGTTTCTCTTCATCTTCTCTCGCTTTTATTACATTGAGAATGCAGATGAGTTGTTCGGATAAATACCTGCAGCTGAGTTTCATCATCGGACGTCGAGGCAGAATACGAAATTTCACCCGTATCACCTCGACGTCCATGGGCGGCGGTACATCACTTAACATCAGGTGAGCCTTCTGCCCGTTTGCCGTTTGTTCATCGATAACTTTTTATCAATCACTGCAAGTCACAAAAAAAATAATATTTTAGCTGTCAGTATTGTGCAAAATTTATCATAAAATTTAACATGGTTATTAAGTAAATTATGATAGCTGTCCCCTAACTCTTTGCGTAATTTTCTAACCAACTTCAAAAAAACTGAAGGGCGATACGACGTGCACATTTTTTACTTTTCATTTGTCAGTTGTCAACACAAGTGAATTTCACATTTTCACTTTCCGATTTCAGCAATAAGCATTTCACATTTCAGCAGTCAGCTGTCAAACTGTAGAAGTCTGAAGTATTGTAGAGAGATAAATTGAACCAGCCAGTTGGATATTTTATTTAATGATTTTTGATTTTTTGAAAGAAAATTAAGGAAATGTCTAATGAAAACACACTAGATTTACATTACGTACACGAATGTTTTCAGAAGAGCTTAAAAGAGAATGATGACGTGGTAATTGATGCGTACATAGATGGATACAATGAATTAGTAAAGTAAGTATTAGTTCACTGTTTTCATTTCCATATGTTTACTATTTTGACATAGATTTGTTTGCTCAGGTTCTTGAACCTCATCGGGACAGTGTTTTCTTTTGTGAGTAGCGATGTGAAAAGTAAAATAAAGGTTCTGGAAAAGCTTAAAAGTGGAGACGATGCCATCTACTATGAATCGTTCAAGAAAATGATGAAGTATGAAAAAGAGACCAGTTTGCACGAAAAGAATGGTTTTGTCTCGGGATCAAGGACGATGCTGCGTTTGCATAGAGGGCTTGGTATGTAGATTTGTTTTTATAGATTCCAATGAATATGTTGTCCATAAATTTTTAAGCAGAATGAAATCTTTTTTATTTTTTGGGCATAAGTTCTGTGACAATATGTCTAGAGGGTAAATAAAAAAGGAAGTTTGAATAGTACTTTAAATATGCTTAAGTGTCCATCTTATGCAGCCAAATCTATTTGTGACTAAAAAACAAGTGTATTGTTCTCAGATTTCATCCGCCTATTTTTAAAACGTATAAGTGAAACAGAAGAAGATATGAACACTTGCACTACATGTCAGGGTTCCTATAACGAGACCTTGGCTGAATTCCATCCATGGTACATTAGAAAAGCTGCAACACTTGCAATGCATGCCTTGCCTTCCAGACAAGATTTATTAAAAAAGGTATTTAGCATAGAAACAGAATATAAATTTAATAATACAGAGAAAATATTTTTTGTAAATCTGAATGTGTGTCTTTCTTTCCATTGTCTTAACTGATATTTTGATAGTAATGATATTTATAGGAAAGATAGTATTAAATTGTTAACAGACATGCATTAAATTATAGCATGATTAATTTTATTGACAGGGACAAATGATAAAAGGTGTTTTAAATTGATAACCATATAATCGCTATTGCAATCTTATCTATTTATTGAAACCTTTTAATTCTCCTGATACCTAACTAAAGTACAAGTCCAAATACAAGATGTTAAGATAAATGTAAGATTGAAGTCGTAACTAAGTAAGTTTAATGTCAGAAATATTATTACACACACACAATACATATGTCTTTATTAAAACATTAAACAAACACCACTTAAATTTGTATATATTGTGGTAGTTAAAAGAATTTTGAATACAAATTAAGTCTAAATACAGCTAATCAATAAAAGTAAAGGCATAGGCACTGTTTGACACTTACATATTTAGATTTTCCTTAATGTGTTCATAGCATTTTGCAATATCACTTTTTATACAACACAACCATATTCATGAACACATGGTATGGTATGGTATGGTTTGTGGACTCGTTTTCCGCACTTAGACGCTCACTAGCCTAACTCCTTCCAGAAGCACAGAAGCTTCCTGGGCACTTCGCAGGCTTCTCGGAGCGACCTCACTGTTCCGAGGATTTCTGTACGTTGTTTAGCCACAGCCTCGCACTCCAGGACTACGTGGGTGACTGTTTCCTCTGCGTTGAAACAGCCTCTGCACATGGGGCTGTCTGTCGCGCCTAGGACATAAAGGTGTTTATTAAGGAGGCAATGGCCCGTGATTGTCCATATCATTATTTTGAGGTTATTTCTGGTTAGATTTAAAAGTTGTTTAGTCATTCTTGTGTTAGTCACTGGCAGAACCAATTTGGATTGCCTGCAGTCCACACTTGATGACCAACGTTGGTGCTGGAGTTCCTCAGATCTCTGGCGAATCCATGTTCGCACTTGCGAGAAGGGCAAGGGTAGGAGCGGATACGGGCCTGCCGGCAACATTTCCGAGCCTCTCCTCGCAAGCTCATCGGCTGCGTCATTGCCGAGAGATCTGCTGTGTCCCTTAATCCACTGTAGGGTGACCCTGTTCGTCAGGGCTAATGCCTCCAGTGCATTGTGGCACTCCAGCACCAGTTTGCTGTTTGTCGTGTCACCCCCTAACGCCATCAGCACAGACGCGCTGTCGGATACGAGCTTAATACAAAAGTTATTAACTCCCAACCGCTTTACGCCTCTGGCTGCTTCGGTTAGGGCAACACACTCGCATTGAAAAATCGAACTGTGTATGCCTAGGGGTAGGTGTGTTTTGATGTTGAGATCTTGAGAGAATATGCCAGCACCGGAGCCGCTCCCTGTCTTTGAGCCATCAGTGTATATGCGTAGCTCGTTCGCGGTCGATCGATCACATTCCTCTTCTCTCAGTTGTACATGGTATTTCTTGTTTAGCATGTGTTGATTAACAATCCTATCGCATGGCGCAGCTATTAGCGGTTGGTATTCTATTGCCCTGTTTAGGATCGCTGTGTGTGTGCTGTAATGATTTTTACCCCATAAATCCAGTACCATAAGCCTGATGGCCGCCAATGCTGCCTCCTGCTGTATGTGTATGTCAAGGGGTGCAACTTGGAGGGCTAGCTCCAATGCTGAAGTTGGTGTTGTTTTCATGCAACCACTGGCAGCGGACAAGGCAAGCCTTTGGAAGCGCCCAAGTTTAGTTATTACTGTTTGGAGTTCTGTCCTCGGCCACCAGACTAGGGCTCCATAAGCCAGCATTGGCCTGATTACGGCAGTGTAGAGCCATAGCGTAATCTTAGGCGATAAGCCCCATTTGACGCCTAGCATCTTTTTACATTGATAGAAGGCAATCGTGGCCTTGTTTAGTTTATGTTCAAGGTGTTTGTTCCAAAGCAGTTTGCTGTCTAGAATCACTCCTAGGTACTTGACGTTTTCTTTTAGTTTTAGTTCTGAGTTGAAGAGTTTTGGTAGCCTGTACGAGCCAAGAACCCTTCGGTTTGTGAACAAGACTAGTTCCGTTTTTGACGGGTTGACAGATAGCTCGTGCTGATTGCACCATCTCTCAATTACTCTGAAAGCCTTCCTCATGCGATCACATAAGGTGCTTTCAAAGTTCCCCGATGTTAGGATAGCTATATCATCCGCATACCCTACTGTGTAGAGATTGATAGCGTTTAGTTCTGTGATGAGCTCATTTACCACTAGATTCCACAAAAGTGGTGAAAGGACACCGCCCTGTGGGCAACCCCTGCTGACAACACCACGCGTGGTGGTGGTCACGGTGAACTGTATGGCTCGATGTTTCAGCATGTTATTTATCCACTCTGTAAGGGTCGATGGTACTCCACAAGTGACAAGTGCATTGGTAATGCTCGTGAAGTTCGTTTTGTCAAATGCACCTTCAATGTCAATGAAAGCGCCGAGGGTTGACTGCTTTATTTTCAGTGAGTTGCCAATGCGGGATACTACGTTATGGAGTGATGATTCTGTTGATTTGCCTGAGCTGTAGGCATGCTGATTAGGATGGAGGAATTTAGCCAATGTTACCCGACTGCGTATCTCCAGGTCTCCCAGTCTCTCCAGTGTTTTGAGGAGAAATGATGTGAGACTGATGGGTCTGAAGGACTTTGCTTGGGTATAGTCCTCTCTTCCTGGTTTAGGTATAAAAATGATTTTTACTTCTCTCCATTTCAGAGGTATATAGCGGTGAGCTATGCAGGCTCGGAATAATGGCACCAGATAGTCCACTATAAGGCTCCCACCCCATCTTAGTAGGCCTGGGAATATCCCGTCCAAGCCCGCAGCTTTGAATGGAAGAAAAGAGTTGATCGCCCATGTTACCTTTTCTCTTGTGACTATTTTGTCAGCTACCTGCCAGTCGGAGTTGACGGTTGCTCTTTCCGCGTATTTCTGCCATGTCTGCTCGTTGGCAATTGTACAGCCAGGAAAGTGAGTCGCCAGCAGTAGCTCACATGTTTCTTCGTCAGTTTTTGTATATGTGTTGTCAGGTTTTTTTAGGCAGCCGACCGAGTGATAGGTTTCCCTAGAGAGGCATGATTTCACTCTGTTTGCCTGGTTGTTGTTTTCAATACTAGTGCAGAAGTGTCTCCAGCACTCTTGCTTTCTAGTACGAAGAAGTTTCTTGAACCGCCGTCTAGCGACTGTATACTTGTCCCAATCCCTAGGCATCATTGTGTTGCCCGCTCTATTGAACAGTTTTCTGACCTTCCGGCGGTGTCTCTCCAGTTCGGGGCACCACCAGTTCTGTTTGCCCCCCCATCTTGGCATGGTGAGGGGGCATGACTGCTCATAGCTTGTCAGAAGTAGGGACGTTAGGTTATTTGCATGTTTGTCTATGTCTTGTGCATCAATTATTGTTGGTAATGTTAGTTTTGCTATCTCGGAGCTGACTAGTTTGTGAAATTTTCCTGAATCAGTTCTCCGAGGTATTCTTCTAGGTTGTGGTTTAGGTAGGTCCCCTTTGATTGCAAAGCGGATCCACCTGTGATCCGAGCATGATAATTCACCAGACACATGCCAGTCATGTATCTGGTCTGACAGGCCTGGCGTTATCAGTGTTAAGTCAATTATGGTTTTTGAACGTGCGTTGATAAATGTTGGTTCTGAGCCGCTGTTTGCTAGGATAAGATTATTACTAAGTATGAAATTAAGCATATTCTCACCTCGAGCGTTGGTATTAGCATTACCCCATAGCTTGTGATGTGCATTGGAGTCTGCTGCTATGATGAGCTCCAGTTGCTCCCTCTCGCAGTAGTCGGCTAGAAGACCGAGTTCCGGAGTGGGCACGTCCTCGTCGCCAGGTAGGTAGGCTGACGCCAGGACAATGTCTGGAAGCTCGTTCCTGGGTAACCTAACAACTGTGAGGTCCCTTGAACATAGTTCGTTTATTAGTAATGCTGGTACATGTTTGGGTATTAGTATGCAGGTTCTTGGGTTACTTACGCGGGTGTCCAGTAAGGTTTTACCACCGGTGTTACCCAGGCCGCATATCTTGCCATTCCGGATCCACGGCTCCTGGATCGCGGCGATGGTCTTGGGGTTGGTCTCCAGCAGTCTGCGCAGGGAAGCCGACGCTGTTTGACTATGCTGGAGGTTGGCTTGAATAAGGTCAGTTCGGCGAAGGGGAGGAGCGCAGACAGCTGTCGCTGAGTTCACTCCCCCCGGTCTCCTGAAATAACTCCTCATCCGATGTTAGTTGTGCCGTCTCCATGGGAACGTGAGTCTTGGTCACTCGGCCATCCGCAGCCTTCTCCGTCAGTGACGTGGAAGGCGTTGGCCTCGGTGTCACCGTCCCCGATGTGCTGGCAATGGCTTGAGGCGGGGCGTCAGCCACCTGCGAGGGTTCATCCCTATCCAGGATGCGGATATAAATGTTCCCCAGCAGATAGTAAACACGCCTGTCTTGTTTCTTGATCATTACGATCTCGGACTCTGGCACACGGAAGAAGAGAGAGACGCCTGTCGGCTCCTTCGTTCTCCGCTCGTGCGTCAGGGTCCACGATCTGATGTTGTAGTGGCGGTTCTGCCTCAAAATCAGTCTCATCAGGTTCTCCGTGCTGTCAGAATAATCTGGGACGTGTAGTAAGCATGGAACCTTTCTAGGGATTGCTGACTGAGGCCTAACTACCAGCCTGGTGTCTGGTATAGGGTTGGTGATGGCATCGCAGGTACTGGTCAGCCACCTCAACGCGTAGGCGTCCTCGCACCACATTTTCAGGACGCCATCTGCGAAGTGGGCTTTGCCCCGGAACCTGATGTCGTTGGTTTCTTCTGTTAGAGGAGCTGCAAAATCCGCCATTAGCTCGTCATGCAGCTTACCCTGGATTTGTAGGCGGATGGCTTCCGCCTGTTCTTGGGTCATGTCAAGGAAGGGCT